ATAAAGGAAAAATTGTCATCTCTTAAAGTCATGAGTATTTCTCAATCCAAAATGAAGTGCCAAAAAAATAATAAAAGAAGCTCTCTTAGCTTTCACATATCTAATCAATGGAATACCCTCGAGTATGATTGGTTTAAAAAATTCAAAAAATAATCTAACTAAATTCATTCTCACAAATAGCTTTTTCAAAAAAATTTCACTGCACATCTTTGGGGGCATTACCTATATTCACATCCATAAAGAACACGGTGGTAAACTTAATCCTATATAGCTCTTAAATGTGTTTTTGTTGGATATTCTTCCCCTTAAAAAGGGTATAAGTGTTACTACTTTAAAAGATAACACTTTTAATGATTGGTTAAAAAAATCCAATAAACTATCTAATTGAATTCTTTCCTAAAAATAACTTGCAAAAAATTTTACAACATATCTTTTGAGGCATTACATATGTTCACATCCACAAAAAACACAGGGGTAAACTTAATCCTATAGTCTTAAATGTGTCTTAGTTGGATATTCCCCCCTTAAAAAGAGTATGTGTTACTACTTCAAAAGATATCACTTTCAATGAGAAGAAAAACTTTGCCAATCAAACTCGTCTTCAAGAGGAGAGCATTGAACTGAAAGATAAATTTGATGAAATATCTATCTTTCATCTTGACATTCCTATAATCAAACTCCAAAAATCTAGACATTGTATTATTTCAAATGTAAACAGGAAGGAATAAGCACATTCAAAATCTTTAACAAGCTCAACACTCAAAACTATTATCAAATAACAATGATCAACCAATTACTATGCATTCTCATATGTATCATCTCTCAATACACATCTTTAATTTTTTTTCCAACCTATAAAGCCTTCCTTATAAATCTCAATTTTAATTCCAATATAATACAACAAACTCTATTTGAGGGACTTAAAAATAAGAACTTGAAGAATGCCATAAGAGAAAAGATTTGATAAAAAAAATTCACTTAGCCAATCATTGAACTACTAAAGGGAATAAAACAATATGATGCAAATGATTTTTTTCTATAAAAATGAGCAAATGGAAGCTTTAAATCATTTAAAATGTGATTGGTAGCAAAAGGATATATACTCAATCCTATGCAATTGACAATAAAGAAACTTTTACCCTTCTGCAAAAATGAATGTAATGCGCATCTTAATTTTTCTTGGAAGCATTTGTGGATGATTCATGCAATAATATGATATAAAGAATGTTTTTCCTACATGGGGATGTTGAAGAAATATATATGTAGATCCACCACCTGAATTTGAAGGTTCTTTCACAAAATAAAAATAAAGTGTCCTTAAAAAAAGCTCTACTTGATGATAAACAATTTCCGAGAGAAGGTTTGGCATATTCACAAAATCTACAAAAGGAGTTGGATGCAATTTTGGCCTTAGCTTTTGTGAATATACCAAACTATTTTACAAGTCGAACTAAACCAAACCAAATTTTAGTTCGATAAGTTCAATTGTGTTTTGAATGAACCACAATGTAATTTACCTTAACAATAAACATATTTTCCTTTAATTTATATAGCATGTATTAAGAAGATTACCAAGTAATCATTGCTAAAACTTAAAATTCTGCATATAGAATAAATAATATCCATTTGGATATTTTTTAAACTTGTTTATTTATAGTTCATGGGTTTTGCTAATTTAATATTCAAAGAAATCAGTATAATTCATTTTTTTATCCAATAATTGAAATATAGAGAAAGTTAAAACTATAACTAATAGTTGAATTGATACTATAACAACCAAACTAAACCAACTGAATAAGATCAATTCAGCTTGAATTTTAATTTTATCAAAGCAATGTACACCCCTATTATGGATAACCAATGCACTAAAACTAAAGAAGCCAAACAAAGGCCAGGAGACATGTCCCCAACCACCAGAGCTTCGCCTAAGCTACTTTTGAAGGATCACAAGGAGGGAATTCCTCCTAAAGGTGGATGGAAAAACACCACATCAAATGGAAACAAAGCTCATGGGGAGGTCGGCCATCCATCTCAAGAAAAATAGAGTGGTAGAACTCCTTTACCGAAGGTTGATGTAGGGATTCGATCTTTAGAAATATGCCTATTATAAATCATGTTTACATCGAGCATCAATATGAAGATAAGTTGATAAATAACCTTTGTTTTTCTAACTCTTATTTCAATATGATGTTTATTTTTCTCTTTTTTCAAATATTATGAAAGATGTAACCTCAAGGCATAAACAGATATTCTGTCAAGCACCTAAAACAAATAGTTTGTAAGGCTCAGGCACTTATGGGGTAACTACGACCAAAGGTGGAATGTTAAAAACAAAAAAAAATTACCTTCGAGGACCAGCTAATATGGAGTCAAGCTGAGATACAACAATGGTGACTTCCCTTTCATTGTAGATTCATAGCGTGACGATGCCCAAGACGAGCAAGTGAAGGCATGAGCAGAGATTTGTCAAAGAGAAAAAGATTTCAAGATGCTAGTAGCAAAAAAGAAAGCTCTCAAAAAAAGTAGGATCAACTAGAAGAGAGGCAGAGACTGAAATATCAAAAGTAGAATCCAAGGCCATGATCACATCATTAAAAGTAGTGGATACTTAAAAAAAAATCTTTGGCGCATCATTGTAAGAACCAAGTTCATATCTAGGAGGCTTGTGATAAGATTCTAGAAGTCAAGATTAATGATCTAAATTAAAAGTTATTACGATCATTATGCTTGTTGGCTATTAGGCAAATATTCAAAGAATTGATGATGGTGAGATTATTTTCCACAAATGAAGCCAAACTATTGCATTCAAAGAGTTCATGGCAGTAGATATATAATTTATAGTTTTAATGTTGCATGAAAATATTGCATGCATAGATGAAAATATTGCATGCAGGGTATTTCATGTGAAATATTCAAAAAAGGAAAACCACAATGTCTAACCTAGTTGAAACTATTCCATTGATAAGTTGGATATAATAAAGATTGGTCTTTCTTTGCATTTGGAGAAAGCAACATTACAAGATCTAAACTAGAAGGCATACCTCCAACAAAAATGGTGCAGAATGTTTGAACACGATCCTTCAAAGATGAGCCCAAGGCACATTCATCAACAAAATTATTAATGTCTAGAATGAAAGGAGCATAGGCCCAATGTGAATGATTGGTTCCTGGAGAGATGAAAGTTGGAGCTAGAGGCTCTATTGTTATGATCATTACACATGTTTGTCATTGAGAAAATATTCAGAACCAAAAGATAGTGAGACTATTTAATACAAACAAAGTCACTTTTTGACATGCAAAATATTCTTGGCAATAATGAGATAATTTATGGTTGTAAAGGTCATACACACAAATAATATAATATATACATATGAACTCTGGAAGTTAATTTGAAAAATTACAAGGGAAACCACGAGGCCTAGAAAAATTAAAACCATTTTACTATCTAGGATGAAGATTATAAAAATCTATCCTTCTTCACAGCTGGAGGAAGCAAGAATACAAGATCTAAACTATAAGGAATGTATACTATAATGGTGGTGGAGAGTGTTAGAAGGCGATAGAGTTGACATGTAAACTATAGAGGGTGACGATCACGAAGACGAATGTCAGCATCAACTAACGGCGGTAGTAAACACATTGCCAAGAACAAGCGTCAATGAGTTTTGGCATCCAGCAATATCATTATATCAATCATCATAAGACAAGAAAAAAGTGATTGTCAATGTTAGCCAGCAAGGATGGTTGATAGCACCAGTTAAAATAAGTGAATCGAAGGAGTAAATGTGGCCGTTATAAGAAAAGCAAAAAATGATCTTCAACATGAGTCAACATAAGAGCCAAAATATGAGCACAAAAAAGATTTGAGAGGGCATGCAGTGATAATTGTCGACGTCAGTCACTGGTGAGTAGCGATGGATAGGCAACATCATACTAGATATGATGATAATCAATCTCAATCAATAGTGGGCGATGATAGTCATCAATGGTAATTGATATGGATGATATTTAATTTATGATAGCAATTGTTGAACTATGAGCAATGATGATTGTCAGCATCAATCAATAACAAGAAACAAATATCATCATTGTTAATGATGAAAAATATTGGCATAAGAAACAAGGTGCTAGAAAGTGGTCAATATTGTTGTCCCTCTAGCAAGAGGAATAACAAGAAAACAAGAAAGGTAAGAAAGAAATTTGGACAAGTAAAATCTCAAGGATGGGGATTGCAATTCTAAATGACAATTAGAGCTTGTAGTTCTCTAAGTTCGAAATTTCCCATAAAAAATTTTCTCACGTGTATAGAAATAAGACCTATTTTTATATTTCTGGAGGGATGCTCTGTTTATCTTACAAAAATCTTGGGCAATCTAATGAACTATCCAAAAAGATATACCTTGATTGTTTCATGTTTTTAGATATCTTGGCATTCAATGAATTCATAATTGAACGATATTGAACTAGTGGATTCATATCGCTTATGGAGACTGTGCCAGAGAAAGTCCTCCAATTGGATGTGGAATGAAGACATGGCTTGGATTCAAGGGAAGCAGTTGAAGAAGTACTTATCGTAGAAAGCGAGCAGGGCAGAACTCTCAAGATCAGTATTTCTTTCAGTAAGGAATACAGGATCGGGCTAATCCAGACTCTTAACACAATAACAATAAAATAAACTGTGAATGATATATCCGACATATTAACATACAAGCCAAGGCCAAATCTTTGCAACATAAGTCAACCTACAGATTTCTATAACGACCAGGGCGATAATGAACTCCGGATCTAAGACAGAACCGCCCGTAAAAAAATACCATCAACCATCAAAATAGTAGAACGAACTGCATAACTAATAACACAACAAAGAGAACGCATCGCAATGCTATAAACCAGAACAAGCAACGGAAACATTCTAGGTCAATACAAAAAAGCTAACAAAAATACGTGATGAAGTAGAAAGGTTGGGAATATGAATGGGGCGGTGAAGAAATAGAAGGTACCGTTACGCAGCTCTACACATGAACAAACCCTAGAGTCGTGAACGCTTGCGGTGACGAGAAAGAGCAGACGATGAGTTTTATAGTCGCGCGTCAAAATAACAAAAAATAATATAATGATTAATTGCGGGATTAATTGCGGGGAATTAGGCCAATTCTATATTAGGAAAATTTACCACTTTATTTCATATTATTTACATATTTAATATCGAAAATATTAATATTACATATCTACCACCTATATACAACTTTAATATCAAATATTTCACTCATATAATTCATTTCTATCATTCATATCATCTTATAAACTTTAATATTTCATTTAATGCATCCAAATTGGTTATCTGGATGGTAGACATGTAATATTAACGTTTTGAGTGTTATATATGTAAATACTATAAAATAAAGTGGTATGTATGTAAATCCCCTTTAGATTATTTAGCTTTTGTGCAGCATTACGGGCCACTTTAACGGGCCTATGTGCAATTTATGGTATAAATATTTATGTACAATTAAATTACTTGAATTTAAATCAACTTTTAAAGGTTAATAAAAGTTAAATATGCAATTATTATTTATATTTTTTAATATTTGAGTGTGTTTAAGACTTCTATTAGGCGGCTCGTGTTATGGCATGGCGGTTGAGGCATTTGTGTCTCCCGCGTGGTCCTGCATTCGAGTCGCTCAACTTGTTCTGAAAATAAAGACTTCTATTTACTGAATTGCTTTTTTATCTTTCGCAATAGGATGATTTATTTTAACTCATTTATGAGTACAAATTTTAAAATAAATAAGATTTTATTCTTTTTAGTACAAATTGCACACCAAATTTTCTCAAAGCCTAATTCGAACTAGATAATCTGAGTTACGTAGAAACTTGTCTAACTCATAAGGGAATTAGCAGGCATTCAGACGAGATGGTGGTTTCCCTATATAAGTCGACAACTTCATTCAAACAAGGTAGTAGTTCTCTCACACGAGTTATCAAAATCGCCCAATTAATTGGTGACTGAGAGAAACCTACATCAAGAAAGGGTTAGCGAAAACAGAGCATAAAGAGAACATGAGTGGTGAATTTGATTTTCATTCATATTCTCTACAGTGAACATCTTGTTATCTATATAGAGGAGGAAGAGTAGAATATTCTTCCATTAGGTGTTGCTTTCTGAGAGAGGAGAGTCGTCTGTTGTTGTCAGGAGCGGAGTAATGGGCACGTGAGTGGTTTATTCCTCACAGCCCCCCCTCAAACTGATTATCCTTTGGGAGGATAGTTAGTTTGGTGCGCAGATCTTGAAACCGAGAAATGGGTAGTGGTTTGGTAAGGATGTCGGCGAGATCTATATAATTGATGTGTTGAACTTGAACCTCCTTGTTCTTGATATGATGACTAATGAAATGTTAGTCAATCTCAATATGCTTGGTCCGAGCATGGAAGATAGGATTGTTAATGAGAGCTAGTGCAGAGGTGTTGTCACAATGTAGTTTTGTAGGTTGGGTTTGGAGTGCTCCAAATTCAGCTAGAAGGCGGCGCATCCATAGAATGTCAGATGTAGCAGCAGCCAGGGATCGGTATTCTGCTTCAGTGGAAGATTTGGCAACGGTTGCCTGCTTTTTGACTGACCATGAGATCAAGTTAGAGCCAATATAGGTGCAGAACCCGGTGATTGATTTGCGATTGGTTTGATCCGATGCCCAATCGGCGTCAGCATATGCTTGTAGGTTGAGGTTGCCCCGAGTATTGGGTAATCCATAGTTAATGGTACCCTGTATATATCTGAGGAGGCTTTTTAAGGCTTGGAAGTGGCTGGGTTGCGGGTTGTGCATACGCTGGCATATTTGATTTGTGTTGAAGTCTATGTCTAGCCTGATGATGGTTAGGTACTGGAGTGATCCCGCAATTTGACGATAAAAGGACGAATCATGTGGGGACTGGTTCGATTTTAAAAATTGGACTTGCTTTAGAGCACTTAGTGTGGGGGACGGCTTGCAGTTGAGAAAGCCGGTTGAGGCTAGGATGTCCTAGGCATATTTTTGTTGATCTAGAAAGAATCCTCCAGCTGATTTAGTAATGCGTATGCCAAGGAATAGAGATACTGGAGCATGTTCTTTGAGAGCAAAGGCTGCTTGTAGTTGACATAGGAAATGATGAATGGCTGAGTGATCGTTGCTAGTTATTAGCATATCATCTGCATAGATGAGTATGTAGATGTAGGTAATTCCGGTAGTGTGGATCAGTAATGAAGGATCTGATTTACTGAATTGAAAACCGGCTTGCTGGAGATGTGTTGTGAGCTTGTTGTACCATTATCGAGGTGTTTGTTTCAGATCGTAAATGGCCTTATGAAGGCGACAGATGTGACATGGAAATTGTTTGTCGATGAACCGTTGTAGTTGGCGCATGTAGATGTCCTCTTTTAGATCGTCGAGGAGAAAAGCATTCGAGACGTCTAGTTGGATAACTGGCCAATCTCTTTGGAGAGCTATCGTTAGAAGTATTCGAATGGTCAGTAGCTTAGCGACCGGGCTGAATGTCTCATGGTAATTTACTCCATGTTGTTGATCGAATCCTTTGGCCACGAGTCTGGCTTTATATTTTTCAATCTTACCCATCGAGGTTCGTTTTATTCGGTACGTCCATTTACATCCGAGGATGATGTGGTCAGGGGGAGGAGGTACAAGGGACCACGTCCCCTGTTGGTGGAGAGCCTCGAACTCGTCCGTCATGGCAGCACGCCAGTGAGGGCTTTTGTTAGCTTGAGTGAAAGAATTTTGAGTGAAGTCATCAGTTGGGTTGGCTAGGTGATTGAAGATGGATTTTGGTTTGATGATACCTGATTTCAGTCGAGTTTGCATGGGGTGGGGAGGTGGAATTGTTGGGACGGCTTGGGAGTGGTTAAGGGCTGAACTTGGTAGAGGTTCAGTTGAGAGTTGTGGAGGGGAGGTTGGTATGGAGGGGAGTTTGAGTTTGTGATTGGGGAGCTAAAGCTGGTTGGGAGGGATGAGTTGGAGGTTATTATAGGATTAGTGGTAGATGTTGGAAGTAGGATTAGTGGGGAGATTGTGGTGTCTGGTGGGATATTGGGTGAGTTTGAGGGAAGAGTTTGAAACGGGAATGTGTGTTCATCAAACACAACATGCCTAGAGATGTAGGTTTTGTGGGTGAGGGGATTATAACATTTGTATCCTTTATGAGTGGGAGAGTAGCCTATAAAGGTGCATTCGAGAGATCGTGGTGATAGTTTATTAGGCGCTTGGTGTTTTAACCATGGAAAGCACGAGTAGCCGAATGTTCGTAGATGCAGATAAGATGGTGTTTGGTTGTAGAGTAGTTGGAATGGAATTTGAAGGGAACGAACTTTGGTTGGTAACCTGTTTATGAGATAGTTGGCTGTGATAAAGTGTCAGCCCATAGGTAATGAGGGAGATTAGCTGCCAGCATAAGTGTTCTGATCGTTTCAAGTAGATGATGGTGTTTCCTTTTGGCCAAACCGTTCTGCTCGGGTGTATGAGGGCAGCTGAATTAATGTATAATGCCGAGTTTGGAGAGAAATTGATTTAATTGAATACTTGTGTATTCACCTCCACCGTCGGAGCTAAGTGTATTGATGGTTTTGTTAAATTGATTTTGAATTAAGTTTATGAATTGATGGAGATTGGAGAAAGTTTCGGCCTTGGTGTTCATGAGATAAAGCAAGTAGAATCTAGTATAGTCATCGATAAATATTACATATTATTTGTAGCCATTAAGGGATGACACCGGAGCTGGACCCCAAACGTCAATGTGGATTAGCATAAAGGGAGCAATTACATCAGTTGATCTATTACTAAAGGGTTGTTTATGGCTTTTGGCCATATTACAAAATTTGCAAACAAGAGAGGTTTCTGAAATGCTAATAGAGGATTCTAATTTGGCTAAGGTATGTAAGATGAGTTGATGCGGGTGACCAAGTCTGGCATGCCAAGGATGACTGGAGTCATGGATGGACTGGAGAGCATGATTCTGCTGGTTGAAGGAGTGGGTCGGCAGAGGATAAAGACTGTCTCGGCTTCTACCATGGAGGATTGTTGGTTGTCCTGGAGGTCCTTTATACGAAAACCGGAAGAATCGAAGGAAATGGAACAATTATTATTGGTCGTGAGTTTATGAATTGATAATAGATTATGAGATAAGCCAGGGATGTGAAGTAAGTTGCGAAGGTAGAACTTACGGTTGGATTGTGGTAGAGGAAGGATATTGTCGCTGGTGTGTTGGATGGGGAGTGTGCTGCCATTAGAGATCGAGATTGAGTCATCTCCTTGATATGGAAGTGGTTGATGCAGATTGTTGACGTCGGATGTAAGATGGGTTGATGCCCCTGAATCGAGAACCCATTCGGCTGGAGAATTGGACGGAGCTTGTGTGAACATTACACGTGGTGGAGCTGGAGTGTAACTGAGATTACACCTATGCCAGCATTATGCGGCTATGTGGCCGACTTTGTTACAGATTTGGCATGTGGGTCGGGGTGTTGCAGAGGGAGGATTTACTGTGCTGACGTAGCCTGGGTTGCGGTAGTTAGCTCCTCTACCTCTGGTTGAACGGGAAGATTGAGAGGACTGACTGCCTCTTCCTCTGTTAGGACAAAAGTTGTTGTAGAATGCATCATTGTCCTTGGATAGGGAGGTATCCTTGAGCAGCTGGTTCTGAATATTTATCTCCTTGCTACAGAGCAGGGAGTATAAAACTTCCAGTGTAATGGAGGTTTGACAGGTTTGAATAGAGGTGCAGAAGGAGTTGTAAGTAGCCGGAAGCCCATTGAGGATATAGTGAATGATGTCTTCGGTATCAACGCGAGATCCAGCTACGGCGATGTTGTCTACCAGTCTTTTGATATGTGCGAGATACGCTTACATTGAACTGTCGCCCATTGTCACGTTGTGAAGAGTGTTTTTCAGCTGAATGACCCGTGACCTGTTGATAGGTTGAAGACGATTCTCCAGCATTTGCCAAATCTATGAGCCGATGATAGGTTGAGGGTGAAGGGTAGTATGGAGGGAGAGATGGTGGAGAAGATTGCCAACACCATATTTAGATCTACTAGCTTCCATAGTCGATGGTCGGTGCTAGATTCA